AAACATCAGCGGCTCTTCACCGGAACATCAGCGGCTCTTCACCGGAACCTTCCCCGGCTCTTCACCGGGAAACATCAGCGGCTCTTCACCGGAACCTTCCCCGGCTCTAACCCGTCTTTATCCCGCTGGAGTTGACCGGGGGACCGTGCTGTCCCTGGATTAACACTCCGCTGCGGTGTCACCGGTTAAAGAACCGAACTGACTCTATTCCGCTGCGTCCCTGGAGGTTTCCGTTCGATTCCCGGTTCTGTGGTTTGTTCTTTTTACTTTGAGGTGAATTCAGAGAAAGACCCGCGGACACTTGTTGAAGAGCTAACAGCCAGGTTTAGCTAACGAGGCTAACAACTTCCTCCGACAGCTCCCCCACAGTCACCCCACACACGGTGCGTCTGCTCCGGCCGTGCGTTCGATGGTGACCGAGGGTCGGCACGGTGGTAAAGTGTGTTTGTCCGTGTTGGCTAAGTGAAGTGACAGCAGCTGAGCTAACTGAGCTAGCTGCATCTCTCCGCTATGTTAGCATCGACAGCTAACGCTCCGTCAGCGCTGGACTCGAACAAGTGGTTCTGAGTCAGCGGAGTTTGATTGTGTCTGAAACTTGTCGAAACATCGCGTCTCTGTGTTAGAAACACGTTCGGGTCCGAGCTCCAGCGGAGCTGCTCGCTTCGCTGCTCTCAGGGCGTCACAGCAACTTTTCTGGACGTTAGCTTAGCTTAGCTGCGTTAGCCTCTGGAGCTGTTCCCTCTGAACGTCTGAGATTTGAACCTGTGATGGATTCACTGACACTTTCTCAACTATAGACTCTGCACATCCTTCAACTTTCACCCACACCACACGGAAGTCACACTGCGGCCCGAACCATGTCCGGCTCCCCGGGCACAGGAGGCTCCAACCCCAGGAAGTTCAGCGAGAAGATCGCGCTGCACAACCAGAAACAAGCAGAGGAGACCCGGGCCTTCGAACAGCTGATGACCGACCTGACAGTCTCCAGGGTAAGACTGCTCTGTAGATGGTGATCATGGTACCTGAACATACTAAACACACGTGTGATCAT